CCCACAGCCAGAGTGCACCCCACTGCTCCCAAGGCAGGGTTCCACCTTAGGGGTCCCCGCCACCTGCCAATGAGGCGCCAGGGGCCCTGAGAGGGTAGTATGGCCACCTTAGACTTATTGGGGACCTACTAGGTGCTGGGCTCCTCCTAGTACCTGCTGGGAGGGGGACAGGGGCTGGGGGCTGGGGACAGGCCAGCCAGCACCGTGGAGGAGGAAGGAACCTGCCCACGGGACACCCACGGGACCCTGGAGGCCAGCCGCTTGCAGGGAGGGGCAGAGAGGCCAACGCAGGGCAGGGAAATGGTGTTTGTGCAGAGGGAGCCTATTTAACGCCCCTGATAATGTTATCGTGTGCGCCCACTGCAGAAAAACACAACAAACACCCCGAAAAACCAGGAGACCAAGACGCACAGCCCCCGTCCTCGGCCACTCTTCATCCCGCGGCTTCCTTCCCTGCGTTTGCAGCGAACAAAATGGAATCATGTGGCGTATAGTGATTTTTAAACCACTTTTCACTTACGATATCATAGACAGCTTCCTCTATTGACACATTTGCTCTGCAACATCTATTTTCTCTTCAAAAAAAATTTTTTTAGTAAAAAAAGATACACACACACACAAGTCCAAGTCTCTTTTGCAGACGGCATGGAGAGGGAGACCCAGCCCTCCTTCCTGGCCACGAAACAGCTGCCTCCATGGCTGGCTGCACTTCCTTCGGGTCTTCTCTGTGTCAGCAGGAGTGGGTGGTGCTGTTCCCGCAGGGCCGCACACGATCGAGAAACAGTATTTTCACCCCACACAGCGCCAGGTCGCTGGCTAGCACGCCCTGTCCTTCCCGTGGCTGCTTGGCCACTGTGTGGACAGACCCTTGATCACTCAGCCAGTCTCCTCTCGCGAGAGCTTAGGATGTTCCAATGCTTCCCATGACCCGTGGGCTTCAGAAGACAGCCCTTAGCTGCTCGCTGTGCCCACCCATGACCATTTCTTCAACTCAGATTCCGAGGAGCAGAGCGGAGGGCATGGGGTGAGCACACGTGGGAAATCTATGTACTTGAGCTGGGTTCCAGGGTTCGGGGAGGGGAGAGGTGGAGGGAACACTGGGCAAAGCACGAGGGCGAGAAATGGCATCGAGAATTCCCGGGAAAGACGTGGCTGCTTGTCCAGAGTCTCGGGGAAGCCAGGGTCCGGCCTTGACGTCCTGCGTCCTCCCTCCCTGGGGAGGGGCTCCCCTGGGGCAGCCTAAGCCGGGAGCTGGCTGACACCAGGTGCTGTTGTCACTCTGGCTGGGACGGGCCTCCAGCCGCCCGGCCCCACTGCGTTCCCGGGCCACGCCTCGCACCCACGGGGATTGTCTTTCTAAAGCTCAGTCTGAGGTCTCCCGGCTCCGGTCCTGGTCTGCAAAGCGGTCAGTGGCTGCGGTGACTTTAGGAGACTCTCTGCTGCCCCACTACGCGCGGTCCTCCCAGCCTCGTGGCTTCTGGCCAGAACAGAGTCTCCGTCGGTCATTCTCTGGCCGCCAGAATCTGACGGATCTCCTCCATCCTCCCACCCCCATTCGTCCCACCTTTCTCTCTGTAGTAGGAGCCCCGCTCTGGGTAGGAGCCGGTCTAGGACAGCGAAGGCCAGGCCAGGCCAGGGGCTGGGACTTGGGTCTGCAGTCCATGGGGGAGCCATGTTTGGTCTCTAGGGAACGTTGGGAATAGCACCTACTCTTCTCCATAATCCAGAACCCTCACCCTTCCACTCCCCCACTGTCCCCGCATCCAGGCCCTGCCTCCTCCCAGGCCTGCCGTCCATCCCTCCTTCCCGGCGCTCTCCGCTCTGGGCAGTGGCTGATGGAGCCGGGCTGGGGCCAGCTCAGCCACACACCCAGGCCTGGGCCGGCCCTGGAGGCACATTTCCATCCTTATCAGTGATTCCATGGCCACCTCCTCTGGGCATCTCCCAGTTTGTCCCTCAGGGGCCCTGGTCCTGGGGCTGGGGGGGCCTGGCTGCCCTGCTGGGGTGCGACTTGTTTGCAGGAGCCACGTGACCCCCAAGCAGGAGGGTGCAGAGCACATGGGCTGGGGATGTAGCCTGAAGCTGCCACCACTGACGGGACATTTTCTCCGGGAAGTAATTCAGAGGTTGCATTCCGCTCCCTAATGTGGCCAGTTCGTTTAATGGTGAAATACTGGTTTTGTTATTTGCTGGTGGGTAAATCGAAGCTCTAGCTTGTGTCCCCGGCACCTTCCTGAAGTCTCACGTGGCCCCGCCCACACCCAGCCCGCCCTCAGCATTGGGGTCAGTGCGCAGTCAGAGGCGTGCGACAGTCCCCTCGCCCCGTGCACCTTCAGAGGCCACCGGTCACACCCTGTCCCATATAAACGGGGTCCCCTGGCATCATGCAATCACCCCTATAGCCCTTCTGGGAAGGCCCCTAGCCCGGGGGGTCAGGAAACCCGGATTCTGTGTGACAGGCGTGGTGACTGGTGTGACGGGGGCCACCGCCTCCGCTCTGCGGCCCCAGTGCCCTGGTGTCTCAGAGGGAAGCCGCGTCCTCTTCTCAGGCTGGACACTGCCTCCCAGTTCACACACCGCGACTCGGGTGGTGGGAGTCCAGGCAGGAGGCAGTGGGGGGATGAGAAGCAGAGAACAGACAGTTGAACCCCCTCCAATCACACAGTGGGGGGCTCCCCACCGCACCCACCAGGGGGCCACCAATCCCAGTGGGATGAGCAGGCCCTGATCCTGAGGAAGGGACAGGATTTGACGGGGAGCTCGGCTCGCAGCCTGAGAACGGGCGCGGGCTTGTGGGCTGGGCCCTCTGAGAGCCTCCTCCAGCGGCCACGCCTGCCCTTCCGGTGAGGGGAGCGGGCGGAGCGGGGTGCACTCCACGCAGCCCCTAACCCAACGGCTGCTTCTGTTGTGGGGGGAGAGGAGAAGAGAGGGAGAAGCAGATTCCATGGAGCATCCCCATCCCTGCCCACACTCGGGCCCCCTTTCTCTGCAGCGTGCAGACGGGGTCTAGCCCCCCCTGCTCTGAGGCGGCAGTGCCTGCCCCACCCCACCCCCGTGTGGACACTCAGTGGAGGGGCCCACTGGCTAAATCCTGATCACCCTGAACCTGGGCACATGAAGAAAGGCGCATTGTCTCGCTCTCGGCCCGCCCTGCGCAGAAGTGGCTGAAATCCTGGTATTGCTGTGGTTTTGTTTAGCAAACAAGGAACATGCAAAGCAGCTCCCGTGTGTATGTGTGTGTGTGTGTGTGTGTGTGTGTGTGTGTCCAGCACCCACCCTCCCACTTCCCCAGATCTAGAAGGTGCAGGGCAGGGCCCCTCACCCCGGGTTCAGGAGCCCATTGCAGGCCTGGCCCACGGGGTGGCTCATGGCAAGTCCCTAACCCTGCACGGGCCTCACCGCCTCACAGACAGGAGGGGGATGGAGGTCTCCAGCCTTGTTGGCTCCGGCCGCTGGCTGCTAGAGGCCCTTCTCCTCCGGCCGCAAGAGCCGGGCCTGCAGGACGGGAACTGGGAGCCTGCGGGGAGGTTGCCCACCTCCCCATGCAAATGTCCAACCCCACCCCACACCCTCCGACAGTTTTGTCAGGGGAATTCTGGCTAAGGTAAATAGGAATGAAGCAGGCCGGGGTCCTGCCCAGCCAAACCCAGAGCCGGGGAGTCCCCGGCCCCCCAACGGCCTCGGAACCCGTGCGGGCCCCAGCAGAGGCAAGGACCTGAGGAAACACCTCCGGTGTCATTGGGAGGAAAGGCGAATGGAGACCCGAAGGGCTTGGGATCGGATATCCTGGCCCCAGCTCTGCACTCGCCCGCTGTGTGACTCTGGGCGAGTTGGCCGGCCTCTCTGAGCCTTAGTTGCCCCTGGGAGCGTGGCACAGGTTAGAGGCAGCGTGTGGGAGCCCTGGGCTCCGCGCAGCACCTGGAAGTGACTCAGTTAGAGGTGTCCCCTGCCTGGGCCCGGCCTGGGCGGGGTGCAGAGAGCGAGAGCCCAGAGGAATACCGTCTAGCAAAGGGGACGCTGGCTACGCACAGACAACCACCGGGCCAGGCTCAGGGGGTCCTGCGCTGTGAGCAGGAGCCCCAGGAGCTCAGTGTTCAGAGGTGGGAGAACCTGGGACGGAGCCACCACGGGAGGGCGGCATTCGAGCCGGCCTTGTACTCGCCCTGCGCTGGGCCTGCTCGCGGCCGTGCACACCTGGTCTCGGGTCCTCCCAACGCCCCCCAGGGATGGATCGCTATGCTCACCATCTACAGCGGAGGCGCTCGCCTGAAGCCCACAGCCGGCGAGGGCGGCGCCAGGCCTCACTGCATCACCTCGCAAAGCCCCTCTGGCCGTATGCGCCAACACTCCCGGCTCCAGGGACCAGGACGTGGATGTCAGCCCACCCCAGTGATCACGTGGACCTTGCCCAGAAGCTGACCCTGGGTCAGCCAGGTGGACCCCGGTGATCAGCAGGGTCCTCTCGGGAGGGAGGCAGGAAGGTGAAGGCGGAGGAGCCGGGAGGGGAGGCAGACGTCAGCCTGATGCGCTTTGAGGCGGGAGGCGGTGGCCACAAGCCCAGGACTCCATGGCCTCTGGAAGTCAGAGCAAGCCACCTGCCCTGGAGCCCCTCGCGGGGTGCACTCTGGGACACCCTGAGTCTAGCCCTGGGCGACTCACATGGGGTTTCTGAACCTCCGGGACTGTCGGAGAATATACTTGTGTTGTTCGAAGCCGCTGAGTTTGTGGTGACTCGTGGCAGCCGCCACAGGAAATGGACAGCCCTGGCTACGTGACCTGTGACCCTGTCACACCCTGTGGGGTCCGGTGCTTCTGCTCCAGCCCTTTCCATGTGGCCTGGGCCTCGGCTCCCAAGCTGTCTGAGGGCAGCTGCATAGCTGCCTCTGCTTTTCAAAGCTCCCCCTGCCCCTCCCAAAGGGGGTCAGCTTGCACCCAGGAGGCCCTTCATACACGCTGGTCAGATGTAAATAAATCTGTGTCTTTATTTCCATGTACAGCGGTTGAGGGGAACAGGCTTTTGACAGCAATAACTGCTGGTTTCTCCAGCCTGGGGGTCTGAGGGCAGATCAGAGCCCAGCTGAGTGCCGGTCAGAAGTGGGGGGTAGCCAGCAGGTCTGGCTGAAGCAGAGGGGTGCTGGGCATCCCACCGGGGCAGGAGGTGGCCCTGACCATCTGGCCGCCTGAAAGAGGCCCCCTAAAGACCCAGGGGACCGGATCCCAGCGCTGTGGGCAGAAGGCACCGGGAGGATTTCTCTGTGGGTCCCGGCTCTGCGGGTCTGGTCTGATTGTGGCATCGAGGTCCACGTGGGGCTGCTCTGGCCTGGGCTCTGCCCTGGGGAAGGCACCCAAGTTATTATACCTTCAGCTCAGAAAAGACCCAACCCAGCTCCCACACTTTACAGCAGAACTATGGGACCAGAGAGGGAAAGCGATTTGCCCAAAGTCACACAGCAGTTTCCTGAGTCTCAAAACAAGCTGCAAGACTCCCATCCAGTGTTGCCCCCGGGAGACGGGGGATCTGGGCGCACGAGGCTGGCCTCCCTCCGGGTGACAGGACGGCAGAACAGGCTGGTCGGGGCTGGGAGGGGCACAGCCTCACTTGAGGTTGTGCTGGCTCTCACGGTGCCGCCGCAGGTCCACCTTGCGCTGGAAGCCCTTGGCGCAGAGCTCGCAGCTGAAGGGCTTGAAGCCCGTGTGCTTCCGGCTGTGGGTGATGAGGTTGGAGCTCTGGCTGAAGGCCTTTCCGCACACCTGGCACTTGTGTGGCTTCTCACCTGCGGGGCAGCAAAGACCGCGTCAGGGCCGTCTGGGCCCCCACGCCCTGCATTTGTTCTCTGAAATTTTATTATGTTTTATCTCAGGACCAACCCACATTCCCTCTGACACCTCCCCGCCCCGCACTGCATTGTACCCTGGTTGGGGCGGGGGCTGGATCTCTCTACTTTATCAATCTCCCGCAGCCCCTGGCACAGAGCCGGGTACAAAAGAGGCACTCGGGCAACAGCCGAGGAGTGAATGAATGAATGAATGAATGAATGAATGAAAAAAGCACCTGCTAGTCTCACTTCTACCCTGAGATCAACATTGCTGACTTGTGCTGTTTCCTTCCAGCATTTTCTCTGTGCATTACCAGTAAATGAACTTGAGCAACACAGTGCCTCCAGCCCTCCTGTTTGGGGGGGGGCACCCCATGTAACCTGATCCCACTGTCCTAGAGCCGGGCCTTTTAACAGTGGAAGGTGGGGGTTCCCAGGCTCTGCCTGGGCCCGGTGGCCCCGAGTGCCGGGCCGGGCGGGCGGCTCACCCGTGTGGATGTAGGTGTGCTTCTTCATGTCCGACTTCTGGTGGAAGCGCTTGCCACAGAACTGGCAGGGGTAGGGCCGCGTGTCCGAGTGGATGAGCAGGTGGGTGGACAGGGTGGACGAGCGCTTGAAGGCTTTGCCGCACATCTGGCACTCGAAGCTGCGCTCCTGCCGGGGGAAACGAGGCCCTGGGGGGTCAGGCGCCGGCGCAGGACTGGACCCGGCCGGGATCCCCTGAGGAACAGGACACTCTGTTGGGGTGGCCTGGAGGGACAGGCCCCAGGGCCCCCCCTTCCTGCCCCCCAGGAGGGGCTGAGGCTCGGGCCGAGTGGCCTCCTGTGGATTTTTCCTTGTGACTTTCACGGTATCCCAAACAAAAGACCTATTTGTTGACGGACTGATGGACCCACTGATCTGGGAGTGGTGTTTTTTGGGGGGAGGGGGGTTCACATTTCATGTCCCTTAACCCAGAGTGAGTTCCTGAAGGCGGGATGGCCGTGGGTGTGCAGTTTGGTGGAGTCTGATTTGAGGCCTGCGTCTGGCTTCTGCATCCTACTAGCCACCTGACCACAGGCAAGTGGTTTACCCTCCCTGAGACTCAGTCTCCTCATCTGCACCTGGAACAGGAGCGGTGATGACCTCAGAGGTCGGGAGGATTGCAGGTGGAGACTGGCCCGTGGTTCGTGCTCGTGAACGCAACGCTCGCGAAACTTCCTTCTTCCCGACCTGACCCCGGGCCAGCCACTCAGGTCAGTGGGGCTGTTTTGCCAGAATGAATCCCGAAAAAGGGGTTCGGGCCTCAGGGAGGGCTACCTGGGACCAGAGCACGGGAAGCCTGACTCTGAGAGGCCGAGAGTCCAGGGCCTCCAAGGCGAGGACTCCTGTGCTGCCCCCAGGGGAAGGGGCGGGGTGGGGGGCGTTTCTGAGCCTCACCGACACCCTGCGGCCCCCGCAGCCGGCCTGGGTCACAGCCTCTTGCAATTGTGCGTGCAGCCCACTTGGCCCGTCGGGGTGAAGGTGTCAGGAGTGGGCACGGGAGACTCCGACGAGGGCAGCAGGCAGCGAGGGACCCGCAGTCACCCTCAGGGGCAGGGTGACAGGCCAGTCGTAGCCCCCCGGCCTCCTGGGAGGAGCGTGGAGGGAGGGGTCCTGGCTCCGGCTGCCCACCTGCGAGTGGATGTGCGTGTGCTGCTCCAGGCTGACCACGTGGCCGAAGGTCTTGCCGCAGACGTCACAGGCGAAGGGCCGGGTCCCGCTGTGGGAGCGACGGGCGTGCACCTCAAGCCCGTGCGGGGTGGAGAAGACCTGGGGGTGGGGACAGCGCGTGAAGCCACCGGGTGCGGGGGCTGGGGGCCCCTTTCCCTCTGTGGTTGGGTTTCCTGTCTGTAGAGTGGGGCTGGGGGGTCTGGAAGGCCCCTCGTTGACCTTTCTAGCGCTGAATAGGCAGCCTAGTGGTTAAAGACCACAGTTGGCCGGAGGCAGGTTTGCGCCTGGTTCTGCTATCTCCTTGCTGGGTGCTCTTGGGCAAGTGATTCACCCTTTCTGAACCTGCGTCCGCCTCCCCCGGCTCATGCGTGTCACGTGCTCAGCACAGGGCTGGGCACACGGTCAGGGCTCAAGGACTGGTGACGAGGACAAGGTTGTGAGGCCCCCATCCCACCAGGGGACCCACGGCGCCCGGGGTCGCCCAGCTGCGCGTGCCCACTCTGCCAGCTGGGGCCTGGACGGGCGCTCACCTTGCTGCACTTGACGCAGTGGTACGCGTCCAGGCCCGGCGAGTAGCGGAGGCTGAAGTCCAAGGGCGGCTCGGCGCTGGGCACCAGGGGGCTGCCGTACAGGCTGACGGAGCGCTCCAGGAAGGCGGACTGCATGGTGGAGGGGGCCTGCCGGTAGCTGTGGCTGTAGGCCGAGGCCAGGGCGTCCCAGCAGAAGCTGGGCTTGTAGAGTGGGGGGGAGTTGGAGGCTGGCGAGTCCCTGTCCCGGGGTTGGGACGTCCCAGCAGGACCCCCTGTGGAGAGTGGGACACGTGCCTGGTGGTGAGGGATTTACACACAGGGCGCCCACCTCTCCCCTGTGCTGAGGGGGTCCCCCGCGCCCCCCCAGAGTGCCCACGGGGCCCACTCATCAGCCCTCCAGCGGCTCCCCCACCCCCACACCGAGTCCTCGTCCGGAAATGAGGTCCCACCAAGGAGGCTCCACGCAGAAGCCCGAGAGCCCAGCATCCAGGGGGCCTTGTCCTGCGGCCCTGACTCCGGACTCCGAGGTCCCTCCCCCGCTCGCACTCACTGGGGAGGGGCTGGGGCCGTGGGCAGGTACCTGGTGCCGAGGCCATCCTGGTCCAGCTCTGGTCCAGCTCCAGCGCCGGCTCCCGTTTGAGGTCAGGCCAGTCCAGGCGCGGGCCCGGGAGCAGGGTGCCGAGGACAGGGTGGCTGCTCGGGACCTGGTCGCTGGCCACTGTGGGAGACAAGGTCCTCAGCGCCCCCGGCCGCAGCCCTGGGAGGGACCCAGGGGGAGGACTCGCTCCCCAGGAGGAGGGGCCCGGAGAGAAAGGTGCTTGGCTCTGCCCAGAGGGGGAGCGGCTGGAGGCCAGGGGAGACCACGGGAGAACTCTTGGACCGTCTCAGTTTCTCGGAGCCCCGAGCTCAGCCCTGGATCGGGCTCCGTTTGAGACCCACGCGCCCTCATCTGCAGCTACCGACCAGCTCCACGCTGAGCTCTCCTGGCCCCCAGGGCTCAGGGAGATGGGTGAACACATGCATTCATTCATTCATTCATTCAGCCAGCAGGGACAGGTCCCCTGTGCCCAGACCTGGGGGTGGGGGGGGGGGCTGCTGCAGCCCTGTCCCAGGGGGCAGGAGCCAGGGTGCAGGGGGCCCAGCCTGTGCTGTCACTCACCCGGGCTCAGGACCGGAGGCCAGAATGGTTCATCGTCCTGGACGCGGGGCTGGTGGTAGGTGTGAGCCTTCTTGCTCTTCACCAGGAAGGAGCGAGGCATGGTCGGCGTGCGCCCCGCACCTGCCAGGGGAGAGGTGAGCGCAGTGAGGAGGACAGCCTCCCCCTGGAGTCAGAACCCACTGTCCTGGGTTGAACAGTGTCCCCCAAAAGTTCTTGTCCACCGGACCCTGTGAACGTGACCTTTTTTAGAAGTAGGGTCTTTGCAGACGTGACCACATTAGAGGTTGAACTGGATTGGGGCCGCCGTGTGGAGGCGGAGGCAGGGATTGGAGTGATGCGGCCACAAGCCAAGGAGTCCTGGTGGCCCCCAGAGAGGCGCGAGACACACTCCCTGGGAACTCACGGCGGGAACTGGCCTTGCTGGCGCCTGGGTTCTGGTTCTGCAGACGTCAGAACCTGGGAGAATACCGTCCTGCTGTTTTAAGCCACCTGGTTTGTGGCACCTGGTTATGACAACTATCAGTCCTAATGCAGGAAATGAGCACACCGACCTCTAGAGCACCCAGGCCGGCCTGCTGCCGCCGCACGCCCCGAGCCCCGAGCGCCCGGAGCAGAGAAGGGAGGCAGGGTCTCCGTGTGGGGCGCCCTGCGGGCCACCCCCGGAAGCCGCGCTTGCATCCTGGTTGGATGGGCCTTCAGAGGCCACAGAAAGAGGTGCTCTCAGCCCACGTGGTGGAGCCAGATGCTTGTGGCTTCGCATCCCAGCTCCCCTGCTGCGCAGTTCGGGCTGACCCTTAACCTCCCTGGGCCTGTCCCCTTCTCTGCAGGCTGGGCATCCAGGTCTCGGAGGAGGAGGCCACCGCCCCCCCCTCCCCGGCTGCAGGGGCGATAGGGCCAAGCGCGGGAAAGGGATGGCGGCTGCTCTGAACCACAGCCAGGGCCGGCGATAAGGCGTGGCCGGCAGCCCCTGGAGGAGGGAGATAGGCCAGCATGGAGCTCTGCCTTCAGAGCAAACCCGGGAGCCTCCAAGGGGGTGTCCCCGAGCCAGGCAGGAGAGGGACCCCCAACGGTGCCCGGAGCCGCCCAGCGGCGTCAGGAGTTTGGACAGTGGCCACCCTCCTTGCTGTCTGCCTCAGTGCCCAGCCCTGCGTCCCTGGATCGCCGGCAAGAGCGGACCTTCATTTATGTATGACACACAGGCGTGTGGCGTGCCGGCGAGGCGCCTGGGCTGCAGGGAGCGCTGAGCGCTGGGCCTCTCAGCCCAGGGGAAAGGCGCCAGGAGGGCAGGCACCGCTAAGGCCTGTCCGGTCTCGTCATCCCATCCCACCCCCAGCCTGGCCCACGGAGTCACGCTCTGAGGGTGGGGACACGCCCTGACCGGGCGCAGGGGCCCTGCTCCAGGCCACCCCTCTGGGCTCTGAAATGAGGGGGTGGGAATCAAAGGCTCTGGGGTCTGTCCAGCTCTCAGACTTTTCTTAAATATATTATTTGTATTGATTTCAGAGAGGAAGGGAGAGAGATAGAAACCTCAATGATGCAACAGAATCAGGGATCGGCTGCCTCCTGCACACCCCACACTGGGGCTGGAGCCCACACCCCCGGGCATGTGCCCCGACCGGGAATCGAACTGTGACCTCCTGGTTCATAGGTCGACACTCAACCACTGAGCCCCGCCGGCCCGGCCGGCTCTCAGATTTGGGCCTCACAGGGCTCGCCTGGCCTGCTGTCCTCCCAGCTCGCCGGCAGCCCGCGCAGCCTTATCTCCCGGGGACAGTCTTCCTCCTGCCTCCGCCCTCTGCCCACCGGCTCTGCAGCCCCTTCTTCCCCTTCTCGGCATCAGCAACGCGCTGGCGAGGCAGGGCCCTGGGCGGTTGGAGCGGAGACCCCTCCATGTGCCCCTTGTTCTGGGGGAGCCTCTATCTCTCTATCAAAAGATGTGTGTGTTTTTTTTACATAGTATTTTATTAGTGAGTCAGCTAGAACCAAAGGCAGGCGGGCGACCTGCCTAGTCTCAGCTCCGCTCACCCGCCCTGTGAGCCAAGTCGCTGTGCCCCCATTTTAGGGAGGAGAAACCAAGGCTGAGAGGCGGCTCGGATCCCAGGGCAGAGCGAGGCGGAGCGGGACCGGCCGTCCAGCCCAGGCCCCACGCTCCTGACCGCCAGACCGCCAGACCGGGGCACGGGGGCGGTGGGCATTTATCCTGCACGGAGGGAACTGAGCCGACAGGCAAGGGGGACACAGGACAGGGTTGAGAGCTCCCCGGTGCATCGTCATCAGATCCCACACCCACGGGGCAAGGGAAGCAGCGATGGCCTTCCCGGGTCACGGGGTAAACTGAGGCTGGGCGAGGACAGAGGCCTGCCAGGGTCTCCCAGCGCCCGTCCCATGGCACTCGCCCTCGGCCCAGCGCTCAGCATCGCATCTCGGTCCATCGAGGTCCATGCAGCCCCCGGGGAGCCAGCCGCCTGGAGATGGGGAGGCTGCCTTGCTGGGGCAAGAGGGGGGGGGACAATGAATCCCCCGGATCTTTGCATCTTT